AGAGAGAGAGAGAGAGAGAGAGAGAGAGAGAGAGAGAGAGAGAGAGAATTTTAAGTGTCCAACTTCAGAGAAGCAATACTCAGTTGAAATAACAGCAAAGGCAGCTCATTCTTATACAACACTTGAAAGTTACTGAGTTATTTACATATATTATCCCATCTGATCCTTACAACAATCCCATGAGATAAGTAGCATAAGTGTTATTATCCTCTTTTTACATATTATTTAATTTAGGCTGAAGAGACAAAGTGATTTGCCTAGGATTACACAGCCAGCAAATAGTAGTGACAGCATTGAAACTCAGATCTTCTGACACAATATTCAGAGCTCTTTCTATAATGCCACATTTCCTCAGAATAAACCCTGTAGGTTAAGTAGCATATTCATGTTCTGTAGGCAGCATGGCTCATAGACTGTTGGACCCAGTGCCAGGAAGACCTGGGTTCAAATCCTGATTCTTATACTTACTAGCTGTTTTGCTCTAAGTAAATCTACTCTTTGTGTACTTTATAGATGATAGCAACTCCCTAGAATTTATCTATTGAAGTATGTATGGGTTTAGATCTGAAACAGGGTAAGGAGCTCCTACATCTGGAATTATGCATACCATTGAAATCACAGATGCTTCATGAATTAACGTTATAAATTCATTTGTGGCCATTGTTAATTCTTTCATAAACCTAGATGAGGACCTCAAGGAAATTCCAGTAGAGGTTAGACTGACTAGGAGAATGTGGCCAGATTGAGCAGGGGACTAGCACTTCACAACTGATAAGCCCTACTGTTTCCTCAGTGCTATACCGGCAAAGTCATTGCAATCATCTGTTTCTGATTCCTTCTCACAATGGCTCTCTGAGCTTAGTGACTATTGTTAGCTTTACAGACAAGATCCAGATTTATAAAGTATTTGGTGCAATTTAGCAGCTCATTCAGGACTACAAGGCTGCAACCCAAATTTCTGTTCTATTGCTCAATCCAAAGGAGCCATTCCTTGCCTTTCTAGAAATTTCCTTTTCTAACTTAACACCATTGACAGATCTGGAAGTAGTTTGTGTTTCTCATTGAGGACAGATCTTTAATCCTTGCTTGAATAAAAAAATTTGTCCATCACTGAAGTTCAGTGTTCCTGATTCTAAGCAAGATTAAGAAAAATCTAAGCCACCTTTACCTTACCAAAGCTGGCCCCCAAACCACCATTCCCAACAGGTATCAGGCAACCTCTGTGTTTTATTTGATCACAACATGTGGTGGATTTATTTTTCCTTATATTTCTATAACAATGTATTTTTCAAAGATGGTTCAAATACATAGCATCATAGATTTAAGAGCTATAAGGGATCTTCAGGTCAATGAGTCTAACTTCCTCACTTCACAAATGAGGAAACTGAGTCAAAGAGAAGTTAAATGACTTGTTCAGGTTCACACAGTTAGTCAAGTATCTGAAATAGGATTTGAACTTCTATGACTTCAAGTCCAGTCCTCTATTCACTATTCCATGCTTCCTCTAGTAGAACTTAGAGGTCAGCTATTCCAACCTCCTCATTTGACATATGAGGAAATGGAGACCCAGAGAGGTCTCATAGTTTGTCTAAGGCCGCACAAGTAGTAATTAGAAGAGCCAGGGTTCAAATTTTGTTCTTCTGATTCCAAATCCATATCTTTGTCCATTGTGCTATGTTCCCTCTCATAATAATCTCACATGGCCCCAACTAATCCTCACAAAGATGCTATAAGTCAGATTCCTGTTTCTGTCCTCATTTGACAAATGCAGTCATTGAAGCTCAGAGAGGTTAAATGATTTGGCAAAGACCACATAGATAGCAAGTAGCAAGGCTTAAACTAGAACTCAGGACTCTTGTGTAATAATATGATTTCCCCCCTTCTCCACTAGCACTGTCATGCACAGAAGATCAGATGTATGCAGCAGTCAGCAAGCAATATCTGCAGTCACTAGGTTACAGTGCTAAGAACATATCTCTGCACAACTCATCCTGTGAGCCTGAAGTTATCACAAGATACATAATATTCAGCATCCCATTTAATGGTTGTGGAACTGTCATACAGGTGAGGAATAATGAACCTCAAGTACTATCACATCTCAGTACAATCAAGCCACAGAACTCTAGAATTAGACACCATCAGAGGTCACAGGGACTCCTGAGAACATTGGGTCCTATTTCATCACATGAGACTGAGTGAGGTGAAAAATAAATAATAGCTCACATTTTTGGAGTATTAGAAGGTTTACAAAGCACTTTTCATACAACAATTCTGTGAGGTAAATAAGGCAGGTATTATCCATTTAACAGATGTGAGCTCTAAGTCTTAGAAGAGTTAAGCAACTTGTCTAAGGTCATACAGCTTGTAAACATCCCAACCAAGATGCAATCTCAGGTCTTCTAATTCTAATTCCAATGTTCTTTCCACTATATCCTATATTGCCAAAGGTCACAGGACTAGTAAATGATGGAATTGGGTCAAGAACCTAGCTTTCCCAATTCCATATTCAATGTTGTTTCCAATACACCACTGTTTCTCCCTTCTCAGCTTCCCTCAATGAGGATTATTCACCAGACTCACTTATAAGAGCCCCCTCTCTGTTCTTACCACTGCTATGCCCCCCTATTCATGAATATTTCTCCTCAAAATGGAAAAATGCAAACTAATTTAAATATTAGCCTCAGGAGAATATAATTAGGAAGTGAAATTCAGTTGCAATAAATGTAAATATATGACATATGTATCTCTACATATAATTTCAAGGCCTTCTGAAAAGTCTTGCATAATGATTAAACTGTGGATGAAGGTAATATAGAAAAACTGTAAATCACTCTTAAAGGCAAAAATGAATGTTTCCTCTTTTATTTTGACTACCAGTCATAAAATACAAGTTGTTCTGGCTAGTTACTATATAACCTTAGCTATTTTCTCTACTCTCTACAGATAGATGAAGGTAGAACCTTAAAATGCATTATTTCAAATAGGCATACAGAGTGACTTTCATGCAAGCCATCCCAGGCCACCTATTTTCCATTGGTTTAATAAAGAACCTGATCAGGGTCTTTGGCTCCTAACAATACACACATAGTAACCTACCCCTAGGTAAAGACCCCATTCACCCAGGTACACAGATGACACAACATCCCATTCTGGTTCAGCAGCAGCTTCCTCAAATACAGAGTAAAATACACAGTATCATGACATTGAGGATGAAGTATTAGATCACTGGACACCGTCAAGGTACATTTCCTTAGGGCACTAAAACAACTTATTCTTCCACAAAAAGGTCTAGAATTGTAAGCTTAGAGAATAACTTTTAAGGACCAAGGATGGGCCCAATAAAATAATCAGCAAAGGGTGAGTACTTATAGTCTGGGCCTACCTTTGCTATCTCTCTTCCAAAAAGGTAAGACTGCCTTTCCACCTTTGCATTTTAAGTATGCCTGCCACATAGGCTTCATTTAACTGTGTAGGCTTTAACTGTGGTGAACTTGCATGTTTCAACATTAACATAACAGTGTCTTGCATGTAGTAGGCACTTAATAAATGTTTGATTGAGTGATATTGATTAACATCATACTGAGGGTCCTGGTCATTGGCCACTGACAGAGTCAGCACCCTGGACAGCAGTCAGTTCTTCTGCTTCTGAAAAAGATTATGTTTCTATTTGTGGCTGCCATTTTTTATTTGTCACAAAATCTGAAAGAAAACTACATTTTGAAAATCATGTAGTGCCATTGCTTTAAAGATTAATTATCATGCCTACAACATAAATGACTAAAGCTTAAGAGTATACAAGGATTTCTGGAAGAACTGTATCTATGAGCTGATCATATAGCAATGAGGGTGATTTTTATGAATGAGTCATGGGAATTCTCTCTTCTTATATATTTTATCTTGTTCATTCTTAAACCATATACAAGTGATGTTTTGGATAGTCATGCTCTCTTCCTTAGCAGGAAAAATGGAAAGCAAACCGTACATCATCTCTCAACCTAGATGTTCTCCTTCCTGAATAATTTTTCTTTGAAATCACTATACCTAAAATATAAACATGTACTGAAAAACTGAGTGAAGGAAAATAATTTTTCTTGGTTAGTTAGTTCTTCAAGGCAACTTGTGGCAAAACCCAGATTTTGAAGAGCCAAAGATCTATAAGAATCAGGAAGACTACTCCCAGGCTTGAAGGGTAAAAGCAGTAAGCAGTATGAAAGAAGAGGAGCTAGAAAAGCAAGGAGACAAAAGGACATAAAGGAACAGTTCTCATTGTCAAAGATAGCCCAGTTTGAGGCAACAGGGAGCCATCACTGCTGTGATAGTCATCAGAAAGGCTGGGGTGGACTGAAGGAGTTTAAGGTTCAAAGTTAGGATCTTGAATTTACCAGGGTAAGTAATTGCAGATTTTAAGGAGGACCTGACTGTATATTGGATTGTGATAACTTCATGCTCTTAGCTCTTTTTATAGAATATAATTCCTAAAACCTTGCTTTGTTTTTGTCTTTGATTTGGTAAGGAAAAAGATGACACCATCATCTACTCCAATGTGATTTCCACAAACCAATCCAGCAGAGTCATTTCGAGGCTAAAGAACTTCTGCTTACATCTCTCCTGCAGAATGAATAAGAATATCATGGTAGAAGTCAAATACTTGGCAGATCACTCCATTGATATTACCAGACATCAATATGGCCATTATGGCCTGCAGGTCTCATTTTATGAATCACCATTGTTTGAACATCCAGTGATTGAAACCCCATACTATGTACAACTCAACCAGGATGTATTCTTTCAACTCATGCTGAGACATTTTGACCCAAATCTGGTGCTTTCTGTAGATACTTGTGTGGCCTCTCCCTATGATGATGATTTTGAAACTGTGACCTATTATTTAATTCGACATGGGTAAGAGCTCTGTATAGCAGCCAATTTTTAAAAATTGTTAATTTTCTATGGATTATGATAAACAGAAGCTGAGGATTAACCAAAGGGAATTCTATTTGTCTGCTGTCTCCATTAACTAAAACCAATTTGAAAAAAAAGAACCAATTTAGTCAACCTGATGCTTGTAAAAATTCTATAGTTGGTAATAACACTAATCGCAGCAGCTCATATTTAGATGGTATGTCCCATTTTACTAAGTATTTTCCTCACAGCAAAACTGTGAGATAGGTAGTCCAAATATTTTCCCCATATTTATAGATAAGGAAACTGAGGCTTTGAGAAGTGAAGTGATGTGCCTAAAGTCACATGGGTAGCAAGCGGTCAAATGAAAACTAGGATACAAACTTTCTTACTTTGTCTAGGCTCAACCCATTATTCCAACACTGCCTTTCATGAGTACTTAATAAATCCAATTCAATTGAAATTCAGTTATCTGAATTCAATCTTTATTAGTAAAATAGGAAAATGAACACTAATATAACTATTTGCTACACATATAAAATTTTAAAATAAAGTTTATGAAGACTAACTTTCTCTAGGATCAATATTTCTCTAGCAGCAATGGAAAACCTTTAAAGGGTTTTGAATAAAGTAGTGACCCAATGAAAGAAATGTAAATCTAGTAGTAATGTGCTATTTAAATTTGAAGAAAAAGACTGGAGTCAGAATGATCATCTAGAAAACTGGTAGAACACTAAATCCATGCATAAAGTAATGAAGACTTAGAACAAGAAGGTGGTGGCTATGGAAAGTAAAAGAAAAGAATTAGTGGGAAAGGCATTAAGAAAGAGAATTACTAGATCATGGAGACTGATTGGATCCAGAAAGATTGAAGGAAAATACATCATCTTCCTCTTCAATGTTATTTTGTTGAATAGTTATGGTGGTCCTCATACACGTTTGTATCTTGTAAAGGATACAAACAAGTATAAGACATAATCGCTGACCTTTAGGGAAATATGATTTTCATGTAAAAGAGATGAGGTGAAGAAAATTTTTTAAAAATCAGAGAAATATACACTGACTGATGCACCCAGTAAATTCTTAATACATATCATTGGAGTTTAGATGAGGGATAGATCACAATAGCTTGAGAAGTCAGGAAAAGCTCCATGCAGTAGGTGGAATTTTATATGGATTTTAAATTAAAGTATGAGTAGGGCTTAGATAAGTAGGAGATAGATAATATTTCAGGCAATAGGAAAAGAATGAGAAGACATAGAGATGGCAATATGCATGCCTTTTCCAAGTAAAAGTGAATAGATCACTTTGGATGGAGACTTTATGTAGGAGACTAATGAAATATAGAGATGAGAAGATGGATTGTAGCCAGATTGTGGAAGACCTTGAATACAAGGCTAAAAAGGTTTAGACTTTATTCACTTGCAATGGGAAGCCATTGAAGGGTTTTTTTTTTGAGACATATGTAAAGGTATGCTTCAGAAAGATGACTGCAAGGGGCAGCTAGGTGGCACAGCAGATAGAGCTCTGACCTTGGAGTCAGGAGGACGTGAGTTCATATCCAGTCTCAGACACATGACACTTACTAACTGTGTGACCCCAGGCAAGTCATTTAACCCTGATTGCCTCACCAAAAAAGCAAAAAAAAAATGCCCAAACCCCCAAACCAGAAAGATGACTGCAGTGGTACCCTAGAATGGATTAGAAGAGGCAGAGATCAGTTAGGGAGTAGTTGTAATACTCCACAAGTCAAATGGTGAAAGCTAAATGAATTAGTATGGTGGTGATGGTAATGGAATGGAAGAAACAAAGAATTAACATAGCTTGATGACATATTGGATGTGAGTCACAAAGGAGAGGGCAGCTGATGATTCCAAGGTTTTCAGCTTCAGTAATTGAAAGAATGGTGGCATCATGAACCAAAACAAAATTCTCATGGAGGGGGACATCTAGGTGGTGCAGTGGGTAGAGCTCCAGCCTTGGAATCAGGAGGACCTGAGTTCAAATCCAGTCTCAAACCAAACACTTGACACTTACTAGCTGTGTGACCCTAGGCAAGTCACTTAATCCCAATTGCCTTGCCAAAAAAATAAAAAGAAAGAAAGAAAATTCTCATGAAGGAGCTAGATTTAGGTGGAATATTAGTTTAGCTTCATACATGTTGAGTTTGAGGTTATGGTGTGATTTCTGAGTTGAAATATACAGAAGGCAGTTAGAAATGTGAGACAGGAGCTCCAAAATGAGGTCAATAAGACATAGTCATGGGAGTCATCCACAGAGATACAATACTTGAAAGCATGAGAATAGATGACTTTAAGTATGGGTGACTAAAAGCTTGGTGACCCCATTTACAGATTGGGATGGGGAGCTGGAGTGGAATATTTCCCAACTATTATTTGCATTCATTTTCCTTCATGTTTCCTCTTTAGTTAAGATGTATGCCTCTTGTGACAAACACAGATTTCCTCCTGCTAAGTATTAAGCTACACTGTGCTCCAGATAGTTTCACCTGAGATTTCCCCTTATTTCAAACCAATAGAAAAGATCTCATCTCACTTTAATTTTATTTTCCAGATGTGTGAGTGACCCCACCTATACTGCTTACTCTTCTCCAAACCCCAATGTTGTCAAGTTCAAGTTTAATGTCTTCAAGTTTCTTAAACAATATGATGCTGTTTATCTGAAGTGCCAAATGGTTATATGCAGAGCAGATGATGCCTCTTCTCAGTGCCTCCGAGGCTGCACATTCAGATCAAAGCGAGAAACGCACCCTGAGTGGGACAAAGTGGATGTCGTGGTGAGACCAGTTCGTCTACGGAGGGAAACATCCCTGGAAAAAGAGCCTGGTAATTGGAATCATCTGTCACTGTGTAAACTCTTCATAACTCAGACCCTTCCTACCATTCTATTCTTCTTGCACATTCATCCCCTTCATGCGCTTTATGATCCAGAGACGCTGGCTTCCTTGCTATCCCACCCACCTGCACCTCTATCTGCTCAATTCCTGCCCTTTCATTGGCTGCCTCTGTGCCTGGAGTGCTCTATCCTCTTAATTTCTCTGGTTTCCAACAAGCTTCAGCTCAAGCCTTCTCTTCTGCAAGAAGCTTTCCCTGGTCCCCTAAACTGCTAATATCTTATCTTCTTGTATCTATTTATCTGTCTGTCTTCTATTTATCTATCTATCTTTTTATCTATCACCTATCTATCTCTCTATCATCTGTCTATCATCTACCTCTCATCTATCTTTCCATCTATCATCTCTCTCTATAGCTAAATGCATATGTATATATAATGTACGTGTCTAGTTATTTACATGTTGTCTCCCCGATTAGAATGTATTGTGCTTGAGGATAAGGATGAGTTTTGCCTTTCTTCTTTAGCACATTAGCACAAGGTGCTAATTAGCACAATGGCTGGCATAGAATAAGTACTTAATAAATGCTTGTTGATTGACTAACTGCATGTAAGTAATCTGCTTGCTTTTTTCAATCATTAATCTTTAAAGGAAGTTTCAAACTATTTAAGCAGCTATTTGTTACTGACATAAAAGTATTTATCTAATCTTAAGGTATTTTCTACAAGCCATAAACTCTCTAGATGAAAAGTGCAAGAGGTTTTGCCTATGTAATATCAAACATCTGGACACTTGGAAACTACTAGATGGTTGACTTGTATCAAGTAGACATGAAATTCCACATAGGGCTACATTTGTCTTTATTTTTAGATTCCATTTTTAAGTATTTCTAATCTTATCTGTATTAGCAAGAATATGGTGTGGTATAGTGGATAAAGTTTTGGACCTAGAGGGATCAAATCTTGCCTTGTACATTTATCAGTTGTGTGACCCTGGGCAAGTCACTTAACTCTTCTGAGCTTCAATTTCATCATCCATGAAATGGGAATGATAGTGCTACTCTCTACCCCACCCCACCTCAGGTTGTTGTAATGATCATATGAGATAAGGTATGTAAAGTGCTTTTTAAATCTCAAATATCTGTATAAATGGGAACTATTGTTATTTGCAGGGCAGCTAAGTAGTGCAGTGGATAGAGTTGTGGGCCAGGTGTCAGGAAGACTCATCTTCCTGAGTACAAGTCTGGTTTCAGACATACTAGCTATGTGACCCTGGGCAAGTCACTTAACCCTGTTTGTCTCAGTTTCCTCATCTGTAAAATGAGCTGGAGAAGGAAATGGCAAACTACTCCAGTATCTTTACCAAGAAAACCCCAAATGGGGTCACACAGTCAGAAATGCAACAAAAATTATTATTTGTACAAAATCTGGAAAACTGTACTGATCTTTGTTATATTTTGTAGAAATTGCATAATTACTATAGCAAATGCAAATAGCCGAGAGAAAAATAATTCAATTTATCTGATTAAAAAAATGAGTCTCAAACACTAGCTCTATATTCCATTGAAAGTCTGACTAAATGATTATTTATAACTCAGTCAGTTACATTAAGTACCATCATTCAAGATATTCCATGGGTCTGACTGGGATACCACATATACGGGAGATGGAAAATGAATTTATGACATTCCCAATATTGATTTAATGTCATTGTTGCTACCAATAATGATAATCCACATGTCTAAAGTGAGTTATTTCATCTCCAAGTCATCAAAGATCTCTAGCTATCACTTTTCTCATTTGCAAATTTGGAATAATATTTATCATGTCTATCTCAACCATTTCAGGAAAGCTCAGACTCTCAGAAAGCTCCAGCTTCTCTTTATTTCTTACTGACAGCCTTACCAACCAATTTACCACAGAAGGTATACCCTTCCCTGTGCTGTGTGTGTGTTCCCTTTAGTTTGGTACTGGGATCAAATCAACTCTGCCACCTTTCCTGGGTTAGGTATATAAGCCTACCTGTCTATGGAACCTCTTACCATTCTTGTACCATTCCTTATCAAATTCTCCCTCTTTGGCCAACACTCCCCTATATGTGTTGTCTTCCTCTTTTAGAATGTAAGTTCCTTGAGGGTAGGGACTATCTTTGTTATTATATTTGTATCCCCAGAGCTTAGCACAATGCTTAGCATAGGCTTTTTTAATTTATTCATTCCTTCTTACAATATCTTAAATCGTTTCTTCATGGCATCTTGAGATATAGGCATGATAAACATCATTTTGATTTTATCAATGAGAAAAGTGATAGCTAGAGATCTTCAATGACTTGTTTTCAAATAGGCAAGTCACTAATTCTAACCCTAAGCCCAGAGCTCAAATTGAGTTTGTAACTCAAACCCAAGTCTTCCAACTTCAAATCCAATGTTATCTCCTTTTTCATAAGTGGCCTTACTGATTTCATGGAACAACAACAACAAAAGCAAAGGAGACAATGGTTTAAAGGGCACTGATTTAAAATCAGAAGATCTAGTTTCAAATCCCAGCTCTCCTACTTACTACACTGAGCATGTATCATAGGTTCACAAAGTGAGTGATACCATCCCCTGGGGGTACTGGACTGATCTAAGGGGGTGTTAGTAGCTTCAGGTGCAGTTGGGGGGCATTGCATAAAAATAAGGGGTCAGTGGAAGCACAAGGAAAGACAGAAAGATAGATAAAGAAGAGAAGATAAGAAAATTTTGCAAAATCATTCATACATGTTCCATCTGTTGTGTAACAGGGTTAAAGTCAAATGATTACATTATTTTCCAAATAAATACACAAAATTCAAGTTATTACTAATTAGTGGTCAAGTCTGCCAATGAGTCTTAGTAAGCAAGTGTTGATAGGTGAGAGTGTGCATTGTCAGGAAGTCCAGCATGTATTGGCAGGAATATGTGTGTGTATTGACTTGTTCACAATATGATACTATACAGTTATGTGACACAATATTGCATCATCAAAATTTCAATGCAGGAAAAATCCCACAAATTTCCAGTTAATTGTTAAATTTAAGATGTTTCATTGAAAAATATTTTATATATTTTTTGAAATGACACAAATTTAAAAAAAAATTAAAGGGCTAAAGAAAGTAGATTTCCAGGGAGGCACTGAGTAATTTTTTTTTGAAAAGGGAGAAGTAGGCCAAATAAGTTTTGGAACCTCTGGTCTGAACCTTGAATTAAAAAAAGAGTCCAGCAGGCAGAAAAAAGCTAATGCTACTTAATTTTCTGATTTCTCATCATGGTATCAATTGCTGCTGACTTCCTAAAGTGAATTCCATTTCTCTCTTGGTTTGCAGCCATTATCAGTGGATCCCCTCATGAAAATGAAAGAAGATACAGTTTCCTTCTTGGGATCACAGTGCTGCTGGGAATTAAAATGTGTTGCTTCTGAAAAAAAAATTCATTGAAAAGGAGCTGAGGTCAAACATTAAGTGGAGCTGAAAGCAAGAACATCTCCTTGTGAAGTTGGAATTTGTTTCTGAACAAAGTTAGTTTAAGGTAGTTTCTAGAAATTGCACAGTGGCATAGAAGAGAGAACAATTAGTTTGAAATAGGTAAAGGTATCCTTACAGAGTGGTTTTCGTGTGTCTTGAATGGTGACAATAAATTAATGTATTCAACGTAACTGTTGGATGTTCTGGTATTGACTTTGGGTTGGATTTTTCACCTTTGGAAAATTCGTTATCTTATTATCTGTAGACCTTTTGCTCCCAGGGTCTTCCCTCTTCACCTACTCTTCTGGCTACTGCATCCCAGACTAGCTTCCCTGAGGCAACTCCAGTGCCTTTTTGGGTGCATCTAATGCTGTTCTTCTATTGCCTTTTCTGGTCAGGATTTGGTACAGTGGAAAGAATGTTACACTTGGACCTGAGTTCAAATCCTGCTCTGCCCTTTGCTATCAGTATGGTATTAGACAAATCATTTAAACTTCTTTGGTCTCACTCTGCTCACCTGAAAAGAAATGATAGGACTAGCTGGTGCCTAAGGCCCTCCAAGTCTACAGCAATGATCCTATGATCCCGGGAACTGTAAGTCCAGAAGAAGTGATCACCCTCTGAATGGGTTAAATCTCAGGAATGATCAACGAGACAGATAGGTGGATGATCAATTTGCCTGCACAGATGGATGCTTAATGTGCTTCTGTAGCCTTAGTATATTACGGTGGAAGAGAGCTTAGAAATGATTTATTCTGATACTTTTTTTTTTACAGATGATAAATCTGAAGTTCAAGAATGTGGTGACTCAGGGGCAGCTAGGTGGTGCAGTGGTTAGAGCACCGGCCCTGAAGTCAGGAGGACCTGAGTTCAAATCTGGCCTCAGACCAAACACTTTGCACTTATTAGCTGTGTGACCCTGGGCAAGTCACTTAACCCCAATTGCCTTAAAAAAAATGTGGTGACTCAAAGTTAGACTTTCATTTTGGCTTTTTGCTTTCATTGTCTTAAGTTTATAAATAACTACCTCATGATGGCCTGTTAATTCAAACAAAACAATGGCAGTTTGGGAAATTCCCATGCATTTTTTTGACTGATAAATAAAGTGGATTGTGACAAAGTTAACCCCTTGTTTTTCAATTGATTATAAAATAATAGGAAAAGGGCACAAGCCATTGTTAAAGCTTTCATGTGCATGCTACCATGGCAGGAAGGCTAGATTAGGAGTCTAAACATGGAATCAAATTCTGGTTCTGACACTCACTGAACTATGTGACCTTGGACAAATTACTTTTCTCCTATGGGTCTCAGTTTCCTCATCTATAAAACGTGAAGGAGTTGGACTAACTCATCCCAAAGGTTTTTCTGTACTCCATAACTTTCTTAATAATTACTAGGGAAGCTAGATTTTTGAATACTAAAAAAATTAAAAATTAGTATATGAATACACAAAGGATTAAAAGCCCTTGGAGTAGAAATTTCCTCTGCAGATACATCACAACCTGTCTGTGGTTTATTAGACTGGCTGTGGGAAGTAGTCGGAATACAGAGAGGGCAGAGACTTCACTAGGGTCAAAGAGCTCTTGTCAGAGGCAGATGTGAATCCATGTCTTCATAAGAACAAGAACGTGATGGGCTATAGTTTGGGTTGCACCACAATAGTTTTGTGATCTTAGGCAACTTATTTCAACTATCTGGACCTCAGTTTATACATCTGTAAAATGAAAGGTTTGGATTAGATTATTTTAAGGTCCCTCCCAGTCCTATCGTGTCATGAATTAAGTTATTTAAAATGCAGTAGCTGTGTAGGAGGCTGGTGTCAGTAAGTGACAGAGGGTCAAGGCAATCAGAGTTCTGGTACCCTATTATCTAATCTCTCATTAACATTCTGCTGCTCTGTCATAGTTACTCTAGATCTTAGCACCCTAGAGCCATAGAATGTGAGAGCTGAAAGGCAGAGATCATTCAGTCCAATTCACCTGTTTTATAGGGGAGGATACTAATCCTTCTTCCCTCACCTGCAGTGGGGAAGTGGCTTGCTTAAAACCACACAGCTAGGGGGAAAAAAGCCCTTTACGGAGTAGCTAGGTGGTACAGAGGATAGACCACCTGCCCTGGAGTCAGGAGGACCTGAGTTCAAATCTGGATTCAGACACTTAATACTAGCTGTGTGACCCTGGGCAAGTCACTTAACCCCAATTGCCTCATGAGGGGAAAAAAACAAACACACACAGAGCTTATCAGTGGTAGGGAAAGGATAGAAGTTGGATCTTTTGACTCTTAGGTCAGTGCGCTTTCTATTATGCCATTTGAAATTGTGCAGTATAGAGAGGGAGAGGGGACGCTGACTTTGGAGTCAGAAAGCATGGGTTTAAATCTTAGCGTTGCTCCCTACTAGCTACAAGGCCTTGGACAAGTCATTTCAACTATCTAAGGCAATTTTTTTCACATTTCATAAAGAGGGGGTTGGACCAGTTATCTCCACTGACCTTCCTCATTCTAATTCCTACTATTTTTAAGTACAACATTTTTATTGAACAGGGTGACTTTAACAGGTGACTTGGGGAAGTAGCATACCAAATGCCTGGTGCCTTGGTGAAGGAAAGGGCTGCACTGATTGTCAAGATGGAATTTCTCATCTCAAATGGAACTGTCAACCAAAAGCCATTTTAAAGCAAGAGCTTCGGATTAGAACTCCTGGTGAAGATGTTATGACAATTCTGAAGTCCCAAATAGGGAAGCCAGGATTCTCACCAGAAGTGTGTGGAAGTGAGCAAAGAAACTGGGGACCAGCAGAGATAACAAACACCCTCAACACAACGTGAAGCTGGGAAATATAGAGAGCTTTAAGAAAGAGGAGAATCTTCTAAAGGATATTGAAGACAGTTTTTCCAATGACCCTCTTTGCTCGAGAGGAATAACTTCATGTTGTGACTGAGATGAATTCTTGTGGACTTGTAATTTTGATTTAAGAAAAGCAGATCACCAGGGAAATCCGTGGGTAGGAAACGTGTGCGATTGGTGTGCCCTGCTACCTTGCGTTCTAGTTTTGTCTTTATGTCGAATGTTTGCCTGTCATTGGGATTGCTTATGATGGTCTTTTTGGGTTCATCTGCCTTGAAAATTACCTTCATTTTTATTTCCGTCTTGTTTGCTTTAGAGGCTTCCTCCCCATCATCTCTCTCTTGATCTGCTGGTTTGGAATCTGGAGTCACAGCTGGTAGGAATGAACTGCTCTGGAATTGTTTGCCATGTGCCCAGTCTTGCAATCCTCGGCCCAATTTCATCCTTTCTATGTGCTGATTGATAGTTTTCCTCTCTCTAGCTGGCACTTGATGATCTTCTCTTGGAATAATCACTCTAGCGGTCCAGGTTTTTTCCACACTTTTCCCCCCTGTGTCTAGAAGGGGGTACCCCTTTCTATGAGCCATTGCCTTTTGGAAGTCTGCTGATTTCTGCCTGAGCTCCTTCAGCATCTTCTCTTCCTCTCTCTCTTTCTGAGCCAAAAGCCTTCTTGTGGCTGTTGTATGCACACCACCTAAACGCTGTTAAAGTGGAGTAGACTTAGTAGTACTTAGAACTAGTACTTTTCACATAGAAAAACCACAGAAACAGTAGGCAGGAAGTTACGTGCTCGTAATAAGGAAAAGATATCGGACAAGAATGGGATAGCTACTTTTCTCTCCTCTTAATTTCACCACGAAATGTGTCCTACATGCCTCACTAGACCACAGACCTATGGCACTGTACTCCAAGGATGTGGAAATTGATTGGATTCAGAGTTTTAAAAAACCCCCAATATTTTGGACCACAACAAAAAGCAGTTGGCAAATTTTGCCAGCATAGAAGCATACTCAAACCTCGGCTCTGCTACCTGCTTCCTATGTGGACTTTGGCTAAGTAACATAACCTCTCCAAGCCTCAGTTTTCTCACCTACAAAATAAAGGGGTAGAACTAGATTATTTAGCAAAAATTCCTTTCATTCACAGATACTATGATCTTACTTGGGTGTAATTATTCTAGCTGTTGGATTCTTCATTATTGTTTCCTCTACTGTAGATCAAACTTGCCTGGAGTGGGCCTCCCCTTGGAGAAAACCCTACTGGACTTACCATGATTTCTTTTTCCAAAGGAGAATATCTTCCAAGGGCAATGCGTGGGTCACTACCATAGTATTTTATCCATATTCTAGAACAACAAAAAGACAAGGTGTATTAGAACCAAGAGAATGTTTTCAAAGGTTTTCACTCAGAGAGACTTTTTTTTAAAGTTCTGTGAAAGAAGACTCCTTGGACATTAACTAGACAAATGGGGAAACGAACATGTCTGACTGATGGGACTTTATCCAGGAAAATCTTCTAAATAGCTCTTTACTTAATGACTTTGTGATGTGAAAGAGATGAAGCATTCAAATCTTCATAGTTTATCTCTGGAATGAATGGGACAAAGGTGCTCATTATAGTTACCTTAATAATGATTCTTGATTCAAATCATCTAAGCATAATAGTGGGTCTTTATCTTGAATGCAATTTTTTGAGTTATATAACATTGGCTTTAGATACTTATTCATGCTAGTTTTCCCCTTGGCAATCTGCCCTTCTCAAATCCTCAGTTTCTACAATCCTCTGCTTTCCAAGTTTCCATTCTCCAATTATTTGTCCTCCATTCCCCAGGATGGAAAGATTGGTTATTGAAGTTGTGGCTTTGGGTTTACTTGTAAGATAGCTTAATGGGAACTTAGATGAAGGTCACAAAGGGAAAGGCACATTTCTTGCATCATCAATGGCCTAGATTGAGGCTATTGTGAGGTCTAATACCAGGACAACACATGATCTTCTGGGAGTGAAATTAGTACCGCCAGCAGCTCCCCTTTTCCTCTTCACTTCTTCCCTCTCCATACCTGTCATTCTATGTGAGGTACTTTTTGAACTAAATTGAAAGGCTTCATCACAGATTACAGGCAAAAGGGTCAGTTTCTCTTAGAGATGGACAATTAATTGAGGGGCAATCTGATGTAAAAAAGAGAATTCTAAACTTGGAGTCAGGAGACTAGGTTTTGGTCCCTGACTCTGATATCCCCTAGTTATGTGACCCTGGGCAAACAGATAAAACATTACATATCTCAGATTTGCAATCTGTAAATTAGGGATAAAGATACTTCACTATCTTCTTGCAAGGTTGTTATGAAGAAAGAGCTTTACAAACCTGAAAGTATTCGAGAAATATTCTGTTAATTGATTCTAATAACCATAAACAACCACAGAAATCATAGGAATGTTTTACCCAAAGAAGTTACCTTTTACCCCCCAAAATATAATGTTTGGCATAAGCCTAAGAGCTCTGGTACTCAAAAGTCTTGCCATCTCACAGAAGAGGGCACTAACTGGCAAGAAACCAATCAAAGTTTCCCTTGACTCCTCTGGAATTGCAGATATTAGCACCCCATTTTCTGATGAGATTAAGGCTCAGAGATTCTAAATGAACTGTTCTTGGTCTTATAGCCAGTAAATATATTGGAGCAAGGACTGGAACTCAAGTTTCCTGACTCCATTTAGAGTTCTTTCACCATCCTTCATGGGCTTTAAAAGCGACGTAGATTGTACCAGAAGGGGATCATAGAATTAGAGCTGTAAAGGGGGTTTTAGGGATTTTCAGGTCCAACCTACTTATTTTGGAGATAATTAACTCAAGTCTGAAGAGTCATACAAGTAGTAAATGGCCCAGCCAGGATTCAAACCAAGGTCCATTTACTTCAAATGCTTCTAAATCTATCATTCTTTCCATTGCACTTGTGATGCCTCCTAAATAGAATCTACCCATAGACTCCCAGATTGTTGGGGGCCAGAAAGGTACCTTAGAAATTATTTTGTCAAATCACCTCATATTGTGACAGTAACCTCTAGCAATTTCCTGAAGAGCAATTTAATCTCCCTATTTTCATTTTCCATTAAGAACATCCTGTAATTGGGGGAAAAACAAAAACAAACAACCAAGTAGTCATTGGTGGTCAAAAAATCATCATTTATGTGACCACTGCTTTTTCCCCTTAGTAAGAAATTCAGGGCTATATTTATAACTTTGTGTTTGAACTAGTTAGTCATAAGGATTTGTAGACAACAGAAGATACAAAATATGAATGTAGTTTGTCTGATCTTAAGGAAGTACTAGAACATATTTTGTTGCAGTCAAGGACAGGAATATGATGTGACATCTTCATCATGTAAGAGAGACATTGAGAGAAGGACAGCTGAACTGGAGGGAGCTAGAGAAAAGAAGATCCCAGTTCGATACAGGGAAAACCTCTAACAATTAGAGCTGTCCAAAAATAAAATGAGTTGTCTGAAGAGTTAGTGAGGTATTCAAGTGGAAGGAAATGTTGTTGCAGGGATTCATCCTTGGGTACCAGTTGGACTATTTGGCCAGTGAGGTCTTTCCAAATTCTGAGATTCTTTAATGTTATGAATGGCAGCATGGGAATGCATGTACCATGATGGCCCACTTTTCTAGCAAATTACTAGCAACAGCATCTGAAACACAGCTGCAAAGCTGGAAAGAAGTATGAAAAGCTGCTGATTTGTGGGAAAAAACAGCTATTCTAAACCTCATGCCTTTTCCCAACTAATCCATGAGCTTGCTCTTTCTATCATCCACTCCTTTTTAATCTTCACTCCCTTTTTATTTACCATTTACTTCTTTGGTGCCTACAATCCCAAGATCTACCTCCATCCTTAAAAATTTTCATTGTACCCTACCATCTTCTGACCATATTCAGGTTATCATCGTATATATCTCTTCTTCTTTTCACTGCTACTTTTCTAGAAAGATGACTACTTTTGCTTCTTCACCTCCCATTATTCCTTTTAGCCCCTTTTGATCTGACTTCCAATCATACCACTTAACTGAAACTACTTTCCCCAATGTTCTCAAATATAGTGTCTTCCAAAAGTTTTAAAATGTTAAAGCTTAAAACTACACTAAGACTTTTGGGTCACCCTGTACGTGTGAATAGATATATTCAACAATCCTTTCCCCATCCTTCCTGACTTCTCTGTAGTTTCTGACACTCTTGGCCACCTTTCCTTATGGATATTTTCTCTTCCCTGTTTTATGTCTTGATAGTTCCCCCTTCTGGTTATCCTCTTACTTGTCTGACCACTTCTCAATCACTTTGCTGAATTCAGGTTCCTCTTCCTACATATAGGTGTACCCCAGAGTTTTGTCCTGGGCTTTTTCTCCTCTCCTCTCCTCTCCTCTCCTCTCCTCTCCTCTCCTCTCCTCTCCTCTCCTCTCCTCTCCTCTCCTCTCTTCTCCTCTTCTCCTCTTCTCTTTCTACACTAACCCCCTTGGTGATCTTACTCCACTGTGTTCCTGACCTGGACTGTTTCCCCTTACTTAGGAAGGAGAAAAATGTCATTCTGTCACATTCCTTTGTTGTTCTCCTGTCCTGGCCTGTCTGCCTGAGAAAAAGGGGGGGAAAGCCATAGTCTCATGTTCTCTTCATAGGTCACCTGCTTGGACCTTCCTGCAATGGAAGGATCAAAGACTATTCCACTGTACTCCATCCATAAATAATCTGCCATTCTGGCACACACTCCCCTTTGCCCACACCTTGCATACACACTGTTGCCTAATGTTCTGAGATGACTCCCCCCTGAAGCCAAACTAAGGATGTGTTAATAACATACCTAACCTCATTCCTCAAAGATAAGCAAATTCTCCTTCCATTATACCTTCCCTATCCCAAGGATTCTTAACCTCCAGCTATTATTATCCAATCCATATTCTATGGTCTCCACCAGAATCAAATGGATTTATAACTGAATTTTATTAATATTTAATTCCAATATTATAGAAGCTGTTTGCAAAAATAACCAATGAAGGCACCCTTCTAAACCCTTCTTATGATACAAATATGGTCCATTTTACTTTATACCCACAGATTGGCAAAAAAATAACCCAAGAAGAAAACGATGCAAACTTTCTGCAAAGTGTTTTGGAACTGTGTCCAGACATTATTATTATTAAGCATTATTTATTTTTGCATTCCTTTTGATCCAACTATGCCACTATTAGGCCTATACTTGGAAAAGATCAAAGAAAGAGGTAAAAGAATCATTTGTACACAAATATTTTAGCAGGTCTTTTTTGCAGTAGCCCCAAACTGGAAACTAAAGGGATGCCTACCTATTGGGGAATGTCTAAAAAGTTATGGTATATGTATGTAAAGGAATATAAGATAAGGAATGACAAAATGTGAGCAAAAACCAGGAAGATCTTTATGAACTGATGCAAAATGAAGCGAAGGAATAGGAGAAAATTTATACAGTGATGATAATGTTGTAAAGCAAAACATCTTTGAAAGACTATATAGAACTCTGACTGATGCAAAGATATACCAGGTATCCAGAAGACTAAAGGTTAAATATGCCACTAACTCTTGCAGTGAGGTCCTGGACTTAAAATCCTGAATGAGACATACATTTTTAACATCAACATAAGGAATTATTTCTAGACTATGAATATTGGCTGTAAAAGTAATATTTTTTATTTTTAAAATGTTTAATGGGCAGAGGCGGGGGAGGGAAGATAATGCTTATAAAAATAAACAAAAGAAAATTGAATTACTGATTCATTTTTATAATTTCTTAAGGTAAAAGGGTTACATTTTGGAATCTTTATTTAGGAAATGGCTTGGCAGTCTGGCTGGAGAGAATTGTGACTAACTGGATAGGTGATAGAAGTGCCAGTTTCTTTTTCATCATTTCCCATGGCTTGTTTGAAAGGGAAACCATTCCTCTAGTGAGGAGAGAGGCCAAGAAAGTGGATGAAGAGAAAGCCGTACCTAAGGAGAGGGGCCCAAAGGAGTGGCTAGAAGAATTAGCTTGGCCCATACAAGTTTAGTGAAGAGTAAAAAAAAAAATAAAATGACAGCCCTGTTAACCAGCACAGCATATCACCACAGCACCATCTTACCAGTGCTGGACAGATAAAGCTACATGACCACTTGTGGGGTGTGTTGCAGAGGGAATTCTTGGAAAGATGGGGTTAACCCTCACTTACTAGTTGTGTGACCCTGGTCAAGTCACTTAAACCCAATTGCCTCACCAAAAAAAGAAAAGAAAAGAAAAGAAAGATGTGGTTAACCTTAGATAGTCTCTGGGATTCCTTTTCATTTTTGACATCCTGTGATTCTGAAAACAAAATTCCTTCAATTCTCCAAGCATTTATTTAGCACCTTTATGCTTTTCTAAAATTGTTATTCTTTTAGTCTCTTTCTCATTTTAGTCTCTCTGAACATTTAGTTTCTGAACATGCTCCTGTCAACATCCTTCCTAAAATAAAGAAATCAGAATTGAATGTAATAGTCCAAAGATGGCTTGGGGATGCAATATATTCAGATGGGTTTTTGGGTTTTACAACTCAAAGTATCTTTGGAGATCATCCAGTCTAAACCCCTTATTTTGCCAATAAGGAAACTGATGACCAGAGAGATTGTGGCTTTTTTAGGGTTACACAGGGAGTAAGTATTAAAATTGGGATTTGAATCCATGTCTTTTAACTCCAAATCCA